ATGTACCTGGATCTGCATAAAAAGATGTGCAGAAGCGTAGTATGAGTACACCACAGCGGTACCCAGTAAGTGACAAGCCTAACCTCGATAGAGTAGTGACGAGGTCAGGTCAGGCCCTACTGAAAAATAAATAATAGCATGGTAAAATGTTTAAACAATATTATAAGATAAAATGACAATGGAAATGAATCAAACAGTATGTCACATTTAATTACATCAAATAATGGCAAATAAATACTTCGTGGAAACAAAATAGAATTCTTTTCAACTTGAAGAAAATCACAACAATAATCAAAGGCAACTGCGGCCACAAATCAATATCAACAAGGGCACTCCCGAGGTACCGCCTCGTAGTCCCAAATCATAAACAAATTCACAATATCTCATTTCCTTATCTCACCGCGGGTGCCTTCACAATTTATTTTAAAGAAAATATTTGTTCCGAAATAGCATCCCGCGTTTTAGCCATCCTTATTACACCGCATGACTTCTAGTAGTTCCCCTTACTAGTCACGCGTATCAAGACACCCTTATCTCACAGCATGCGTTTCAACACCCAGACCTTATACCACCGCATGCGTATCAATATCACAATATATCACAATTTACACCTCAGGTGCTCAAATAATTTAACTTACCAAAATAATTCAACAACAATATTTTTCCACAATAAAGAGCTCACGGCTCATGTCAAAATAATTAAACAATACTATTTTTCCACAATAAAGAGTTCACGACTCATGTCTTAATAATTCAACAATAATATTCTTCCACAATAAAGAGCTCACGGCTCCCTCACAATGAGTATAAAAATATTCAGGAGTAAATAATTTAGGAAAATAATATTTTAAAATCTTTACTACGTTGCTTCAATATCAAGTTTAAAAATGTCAAATACTTCATATTAATAATATTTAATTTAAAGAAAATCAACCTTCAAATAATGCACAGAATAAAAGAAACCAAGTTTCAACTAAACAGGTAAAATAATTAGTAAGAAAAGATCAAAAAAAATTGAAGTATATATCTCAGATCTATGATGAAGAATATAACAAGATAAAATAATTTAATAAATGCGCAACAATGATCTACACAATTCAAAAATATAATCTTTCACAATTTAGCTCGTGTACACACTCGTCACCTCGTACACACGACTTTCAACACATTTTAATAATCACATCAATGCCAATCCTAGGGGAAATTTTCCCCACACAAGGTTAGACAAGTCACTTACCTCGACTTGCTCAAATTTAACCAAGTATTAAGCTTTTTCCTCGATTTTTTTTAACTTCGATCGACTCGTATCTAGTCATAATTAATTCGATATGGTCAACAAAATTTATAGGAATTAATTTCATAAGAAAATATTACACTTTTCAATAAAATTCGAAATTAGCTCAAAAAATATCTGTGGGGCCCACGTCTTGAAATCCGGCAAAACTTATAAAATCCAATAACCCATTCAATTACGAGTCCAACCATACCAGTTTCACTTAAATCGGACTCCGGATCGATACCGAAATCTCAAAAATTCGTTTCT